CAGCTCGCCTTAGGGCGTCCAGTCAGCAACAGCCAGCAGCGAGCCAGCTGTTATATACACATTATACATGTTACACGCTCGCCGAGGTATGCACTCTCTTTGAGTGCGCTCTGTCTAGTTCTCTTTGTGAAGAAGCCCCTTCAGTTTCACTAAGTTACTAATGTATAATATATACCCATCTTATAAAATGCCATGCATATAAATCGTCTTGTACTGTACAAAATGTTGTTGTGGCAAATAAAATTGGTAACAGTCGCATCTGTGCATTAGAATTTAGATGATGTTTTTTCTGTGTGCTGGTGCCACCAGCTAGCCAGTGACTATATAGCATGCGTTGCCTTTGATAATATCAGGTAGTTGGTGTCGACACATTTTGGGGATAGTGATTTATTCCAGTGCCATGATTGGCTGGAAGGAAATACTGTAGCATGGGTTTTTTATGGTTGTGACTTGTGATGGTACATGTGTGCACACATTTATAACTACTGAACATTGTAATTAAATATGTAGCAAATTGTAATTAATTGGTATCTCGTCGTTACTCTATTCGTCGGTCAGTGATCGTAAACAGTGATGGTCGAAGAGGTTGTGTATATCATACATGATATAGACGTCTTTATTTGAATACATATGATGTAACGTACAAGCTAGTGCTTGTCGACTAGCCAGTGCCACACCCGACTCTCTCGAATCCTCTGCCCTCTCCCTCTTATAGGCCGGCCCCCATAAGCCACCAAGGCCGCCCCTTGTATAGACCGGTTCCATGACGTCACGGCTTAGCGTAACCAGTAGCCAGGCTAGCGTGCCTTGTTGCTCTGTATAATTCCGCTGCCTGGGTAAAACAGGTTCGGAGATGAGACAATGAGCCATTAGCTGTTTATGGCACAGTAATCCATTTCGCATTGCCACATTTCACCCCGGCATATTCAAGTCGATTAAACTGGTAATTTAATCGGCTTGTCAGTCTCCTGACTGATTACAAATATACATTTATAAACCGAACGCCATGTAAACGTAAATATTAATATAGAATAGTGACAATGCTGTATCATAGCGTCCTATCCGAATCGAGCTCTTCACGTTAGGGCTCGTTCAGCGCGACCACAACCAGACTCTCCTGCTCCTACATCTCTCTTCTCTCCCCTCTAATCGCTCTTCTATATATTACCCCCAAAACCCCTACATCCTGAGCGCACATGTCACCCGTTCTCCCAAACCGCGTCCTACCTCCATTTCACAATGACCCTAGAAACGCCCGACCTAAAACACGTTTATCATTCTCCCTATAACATCAATGTAGCCGCACAAGATGCCACAACAACCCCTAGTCTAGCTCCGCTGACTAATTCATGCAACATTTGTAAAACACATGTTACACATATCATATGCAGTTATATCTGAAACAAAAATTTGTATACATGTATAGTTTTATTTGTTGAAATTAATATTTACAGTTTGTCTGTTAGTGTTATTGCTTTATGTGAATTGTTGTACAGCACTGTCATTAGTTTTTAACTAGATAGCCTTAGGTGATGATTATTTTGAGTGTCTATATTAGTTTTTTGGTGAAACCTGTTTTTGATATAGTTATACAAAACTTTGCTATTATACTTATCATTATTTTTTGTATTTCAGGTAAAACACCTCTTCAACTCTTTAGAAGTACAATATAAAGTTCTTGAACTAGACAAACTAGGTACGTACGTTTTTGCGTGAATAATTAGTACATCTGAACTCTACGTGACCCTGTTGGTGTGTAGCGTGTACTTGGGCAGATGGGGTCGTTGTCGTATCAGGTACTACAGATATGCACCCGGTGTAACGATATACCGGGTATATTGCAATCTATTTTGAAAACTCAATATATCGCGATACAACATCCGGATATCGATATTTTACTATATACGCATACAGTATTACTGGTAAGCGACCAATGCATGGAGAACTGTGCGGTACTACCTATGGTACTACTGCGCGGGCAGGCGTGGCAACTCTCTTTCACCTATTATTGCCGACAGTTTCCTGTAAATTCCGTCCAAATCCTACGTGCAACGCTACCAAAATCCTACGCTGCCAGCCGCCATTGCTCTCGCGGCTCCACTGTTGCACGCTTACACTAATATATATATAGTATACACAAACTGTGAAACAGTGACCGTGTCAGGTAGAATAGTAGCTCCAAGAAACGGTATTGCTAGGGTTAGAATACTGTGTATACTGTGTATATATTGACGTTAGTCACACAGCCTGGTCGGGTTAGTAGAATAGTACATACTTACAACGAGAGAAGGAGCCGGTCGCGCGTGTGTGTGTGCCTTGCAGGAAGATGGTGGGCACTGGTCTGTCTACCGCAGTACTTACTACTTATATAATATACCAACGCTGCACTGCACTGTTTGCCTGGCCTGGGCGCATGACTCAGCACTCACTCGCGCGATGGAACACTGATATGACCCCAAGAACCAAGTGCACACACCGCACAATCTTGGTGGGGTGCCATGGCAGGGCCACTGCTTATGCACGGGACCGGTTATGTTTGATAACCCCCCCCCCACGGCAACGATTGCCGCATGACTGATGGATGCTCCGATTCTCAAGGGCTGGCGGGATTTTCTGTAAAAATCTAGAAAGCATGAGCAGCGGCAGTGCAGCTGTAGTACATGTAGATGTATGTACATAGTTCCACGTTGTATGTGTATAGTTCTACGTTGTGTGTACATAGTTCCACGTTGTATGTGTATAGTTCTACGTTGTATGTAGTATATGTACATAGTACCACATAGTAACACGTTTTCCGCCGGCTAATTTCGCCGAGGCTGCTGCATCGATCAATTGAATGTTCCCGACACTATTCTAGTTACTATTCTAGTTGTATGTGTGTATGCGTGCGTGCGTGCGTGCGTGCGTGCGTGCGTGCGTGCGTGCGTGCGTGCGTGCGTGCGAGCGTGCGTGTGTGTAATGTATGTGTGTAATGGTATGTTGTATGTATGTATGGTCATGTATGTATGTATGTAGTCGTATGTATGTATGCATGTAAGCTATGCATGGCACATGGGTTCTGCGCAAGAGGCACGTTATGAGTCTGCGGGAAGGCGGCCCACGGCTCAAGGACTATTTGTCTCGAGTCGCCGCCACTGCTAAATATCGATAGGCGCGGCAGACGCCCTAGCAGGCAGTGAAGCGGCAAACCGGCCTTTGCGGATTTGGGCAGGCGTGGACGCGTAAAGCAGGCAGCGGGCGCGCATCGCGTATAATGGAAAAAGGCTTGGAGAACGCCTGATGTATGTATGTATAACGGGAAACCTTTAGATCGGTGTTTTCCCGCTTTTTTATGTAGGCTCATCTGACCAGTAAGTCAGACTGCAAGCTGTGGTAGAATCGCATGACGTGCGGTGCGTGCGTCCGCGCGGGGTGCGTCGCGTCAACGAGTTGGGGCAAGCAAATCTAGAACGGCTCGATCGTACGGATTCGAAAGTCGGACATGGGGGGTAATCCGAAAATGAGTTGGGAAATGTTGAGATCTGGGGGTCAATAGGTCAGAGAGGGGAACATATCCTGCCTTAACTAAGGTTATGGGGAGGAAGATGCAGAATTTGCGGCACAAATCTAAACGGCTCGACCTAGGCTGCGTGAAGTCGTGTATAGGCAGGCTTTCAAATTTTCTAAAAGGGGCGACGATCGCTCGGAATAGCGCGCTCCAGTGCCCCGGCACCAGAAAGTTGTGGCCATGGTGCGCGCAATACATCGCGCCTCCATAAGAAAGTGGTTGAAAAGCGCGACGAGCAAAAAGTATGTGTATTATGTTGAAATAGCGGCTCTATAGAGTTGTCGCAATTGTAGGGGGGTCAAAAAGGTTAGGCATACACACAATTTGTGGTGTGTAGTAGATTAACGTATGGCAAAGAGGGTACAGGGTTACGAACCCCTCTGGGGTTTTATTACAGACTAGAACACGGGTCAATACAGGTACCGTTACGACGTAGCCCCAAGTTAGCGCCGGCTCGTTTTCGCACTATACGGCGTGGCCAGAGAGTGGTTTCTGCGCGGACGTGAAACAGTCGTAGGGCTGGAGGGGCTACATACCGTGGCTAACTGACGTACGACAGGTAATTGGGGCTAGTTTGTTGGGGATGGATTTGTGATGCATATTTCCGTCTGGAAATCATGCAGACCTTAAGGATGAAAATCAGAATAAATAAACAAGCTTTATTCTTTTACATCCGATCAAACTTTCTATTATTATGCTGTGTGCTAGTGTTGGGTGTGTGAGTGTTTACGAAGAAATGGTAATCATGACGAAGCATTGAATGAATGAAGGTGAAGATGAATGGATAATCAGTGGATTGACTATGACATCCAATTTTCGTTTTTTGGATTTTCAACCTTCTAGGACTGGGCTGATTGGTCATGACTCATGCAATCACACCCGGCAAGAGGCATGAAACGGAGAGCCCTCAAGGAGGGCTCTCCATCATCACTCTTTAAAACGGTGTGATTTTTTAGTGAGGTCTCTCCATCATGCCTCTTAAAGGCCGATAGGAACACGTGCAGCGACAACGACCGACCCGTACGACAAACGACTTTTCAAGAAAATTCAGAACTATTGTTTTCCTATGAGGAGCCATTGCACAGCCCTGACAGCGACGACGACCGGCCGAAACCTCCAGACGACCAAAATATTTAGAAACGTTTCTATTGATGCGCCGAGCGACTTTCGCCGGCGATCACTTTACCAAATGGCCAATCACAGTCCGTTTGCTATCGGCACGTTGAACATTGCGATTACGTCATAAAATTATCAAACCAATGCATGCGCAGGATAGTAGACCTGGTCGCCAGCGCTAACTTGGTAACTCGCACGCCTGTCAGAAACGGTGGTCAATCGGCGAACCCTCAGTGATCGGCCATCTAACCGAAAAGCCGTGGCAAGGCCTACGGTCAGCCATCAGACGTTCGTATACATATTCTGGCGTATAAAATTCTTTATTATACTTATCGTTATACCCATAGAGCGTTTTTTACAGGCAATTTCATTTAGAAAGGCAGTCAGCAGTGAGATTTTTTGGCCCGTTTGGTTCCATGGTTGGCCACTGTGGCACTGGGACTGGGTGGTGAGGGGCTGGTGAAACCTTTTGGTCCGTTAGCGGTGGTCGGGTCGTTTGTCAGGCTGCAGTGTGGCTGGGCGGGCCAGTCGCGGCGACCCGATTGTTCGGTTTGGAGGGTCGGCGGTCGCTGTCGCTGCAGTGTGTCTTGGCTTGTAGGGTGTGATTTCTTAGTGGAGCTCTCCATCATGCCTCTGTAAGGGTGTGATCGTATGGAGGCGTGAAAAGACGCCGCCTATGGTGTCCTAGGGGAGTCATTAGTAGTCCTCCCTGTACTTTTCCAATCTGAAAGCCTGGTATACGGCGCGAACCCCACCCCCCCCTGGGACCCCGCATCACCACAACCACCACCGAAACCCCAACAGCCAACAGAAGGCGCCCCCAAGACCCACGCCCCACCCCGCCCCCACACCCCCCCGCCACCGCCCCCCGCGCCCACACCCGCCCCCCACACCACCGGCCCGCCCCCCCCCAGCCCACGCATCATGGAGGAAAAAGCATCCACGTGGTGCCGATAATTGGGAGTCACAGGCGTCAAAGTCTAATGGGGCACAGGGGCAGATTTCTAGCACATTTTTCTAAGGACAGTGGTCTGACGGAGCGATTGAAAGAACTTTTTTGCTTTCAGGCGTGAACCACCATTTTTATGGCGTATTGAAAGGACATAAAATGTAACTTCTTCCGCTGAACATAGCGAAGAGTAAAGTTCGGATAACCTTTTGAACCGCTCAACGAGCAGGCTTTAAAACATCCGATTTGCTTGACTGGATTAACAAAGGACTGAAAGCTGGCTTTGCTATTGTGGATGTAAGGGCTAACAGTTGCAGGGCAGTGTCAATTGGCAACTTAGGCAGATGTTTGTTGAAAAAGGTTTACGCTCCATAAATAATATTATTTTCTAAAGCGCACCCCCTGAGTAAGCCACCGGCCCTGTATTTAGCACGGCTGGTAATAGCACGCCTGAATGCCGGTGGGGTAGCAAAAACACGGGGGCAACGCCCATCTACGCACATGCAATGGGGGTAATGGCACTATTCTAATCAATAATTATTGCGGCCTGGCAAACCTGCAATTCAAGACTGTTGTTAACTCGCAGCTGAGCGAAATTCTCGGCCGCTGGCCCTGAGTATACTTTGGAATTTTAAGCCGGTAGGATTTCACGTCAACATCAAAGAGTGAGGTATCACGCACTGAACCGGCCGCTGCCTTCTTTGATTATTGATGACACTTGGCACCGCGCCAGTCTCGGCGGCAACTGCTTTTGCCTATCACGAGCCCCGCCTCCCCCTGCCCCTAAACCCCACGCCTCCCCCACACCCACTAATAGCTCGCGCTCGAGTCAAGCCAATATGCCCAATGCGATCACATGTTAATATAGCAAAGTCAATTGAAAGTTACAGCAGCTGTATCTTTCTTACTGTACTACCGGTATCACGCAAAGCGCTAAGCTTATCATAGATCTTAGATCTGTATTATTAGTATCCTGAGATATACCCCTACACTAAAAGACGCCACGTATAAGAACATCGTTTTAAGAACCTGTTAGGCGCTAAATTTCCCCATTTAGGACCCCCTTACCCATCAAGGAACGGCTGTTTAGCTAAGAGTTTAAAGTAGGGTTCTATTTTTCGCCATGGGCAGATGATCGGACTTAACAAAGAAACAACAGGTAATAAAAAAAGAACGAGGCTCAACATAGACGGCGATGAATGTGCCAGCAGCGTTTTTTTGGCACGCATCTTTTGCATATTGTTTTGTTTTCCTGTGATACCTACTGTATCATACTAGTATGGTAAGCACTGAAAAACCTTACACTGTGCCATCATGGGTATTAATTAGCCAAAATTGCAGTCCTTGTAAAGAAAATTTTAACAGATCAATTTGAATCAAGTATAAGCTTATACATATTAAAATAGAAACAATTAAAACCTACTTTAAGAACCGTTTTGAGCCTAATTTTGATCAAGTAAACACCATTGGTACATCAAGAGACATATTGAGGGCTCACTTGAAAAATCTATGTTCTTATCCGCGGGTGTTTTACTGTATGCTGCTGAGCGCGGGAAACGCGGTGGTGGAGGGCGCAGCATTGTTCAGTTGCCAGTTCGAGTTTTTATCAAAGAATACCCAGCTACTTTACAGCGTCAGTTTGAGCGGCATGTCGCCCCTGCGCGCACGCTTTGTTATTTGATAGTTCCGCCACCGGTAATTGCTCCAACATTTAACCGGGCGAGATTTTGGTTCCGCCCGGGAGCTTCCAGGCTCCACTTCTACAGTAATGTCCTAACGCCGTACCGCCTGCCTCTACCGCAATCCGATAACATCTATGTTCCTTTAGCCGCCCGGCCCCACCCAGGGGATGGTG